CTGTGTCCCCAATGTCCCCATGTGCCCGCAGTGATCACCCTGCGCTGCATGGTGCAGTTCATCGGCCGCGAGACCAAGTACAGGTACGGCCTGGGGGGCTCCAGGGGGGCTGGGGATCCCAGGATCCCCCCAGCTCATCCATCCTCTTCCTCCCCTTCCCAGTGGGACACTAAGCGCCTTCACCACGATCTACCGGGAAGAGGGAATCCTGGGATTCTTTGCGTGAGTGCCGGGGAGGGAGGGGGCATGACACTGGTGCAAAGGTGTGGTGGCCCTTCTGGGGAGCATTCTGGTCCCTCCAGCAGCTCCTGTGTCCCCTATGGATCATCCATCCAAGCATCCCTGCCTGCGGGGGTGGCTGTGCCCCCATCACCCGCCTGCTCTGGGAACAGCCCCACCCCACCATCCCAAAGGAGCTGTTCCCAGCTCTCTGCACAGCCACACCCAAACCCTCAGCTAACATTCCCGCTGTTTCTTCCCTTCCAGCGGCCTCATCCCGCGGCTCCTCGGGGATATCCTGTCCCTGTGGCTCTGCAACATGCTGGCCTACCTCATCAACACGTATGCGCTGGAGAATGGGGTACGGATTCCGGGATCCGGGGGGACAGGGGTTGGTGGGAGGAACCTCCAGGGATGGTCCAGGGGGCCACAACCCTCTTGTGGGGGAATTCAGGTGTCTCTCCTCCTTCCACAGGTCTCCACCATGGCTGAGATGAAGAGCTACTCACAGGCGGTCACTGGGGTGAGTACAGCACACAGGTGGGAATTGGATCCTTTCCCTAGGGAATGGTGTGCTCCCAAAATCCTGCGGCTGCCACGGTGGGCATGGAGCCAGGCTGGGATCAGCTGGATCAGCTCACAGGCCAGGGGATGCTCCATGGAGGACATGTGTCACCCCATGGAGGTGGCAGCAGTGGGCTCCCTCCCTGGGGCACAATTCCCAGGGGATCTTTAGGGGCCAGTTCTCCCCACGCAGAGGGAAGAGGGAACATCCTGTTATCCCTGCTTTTCCTTGCAGTTCTTCGCCAGCATGCTGACCTACCCCTTCGTCCTGGTGTCCAACCTGATGGCCGTGAACAACTGCGGGTGAGTCCCCAATCCTGGGAACATCCCTGTCCCTCTGCCTGGGTCAGCTCCTGGAACCACCTTTCTGAAGTTCCCAGATGGAAAAGGTGTTTCCAGCTCTCCACAGGGTTGATCCCTCTTTGATTGGGGCGGCAAAGCTTTTTGGGTTCAACCTAGTGTGGAGCTGTGGAGGGGACGGATCCCACCTCCCTGGGTGGGAATGATTCCCTGGGGGAGTAATTCCCGGCGGGTCTCCCCTCCCTTCCCCAGGCTGGCTGGGGGTCTCCTTCCCTACGCACCCACCTACTCCTCCTGGCTGGATTGCTGGAGCCAGCTGCACAGGGAGGTAAGTGCTGGAGCCGGGATGCACCGGGATACACTGGAATGTGGTGAGGAGCTGGGTGGGAGCCCGGCGGGGTTTGGGGGGGCCACACCAGGTCTCATGTGGCTGATCCGTGGTCGTTTTCCCTTTCCAGGGCAACATGAGCCGAGGGAACAGCCTGTTCTTCCGCAAGGTGCCAGTGGGGAAGCGATACGTGTGGGACGAGCGGAGGTTCCGCTGATTCCAGAGGCGGGAGCGGGATTGTGGAGCTGATGCTGGGCTCCGGAAGCAAAGAATCATGGAGAGTGATGATTTCTATACAGTTTTTTAAAAATCATTTCCTGCTGAGAGCTGAAAGGGCATGTGTGAGAGTCTTTTTTCACAGGGGTTCCCCAGGAAGCGGGGCTGACAGGTCTCCAGCATTCCCTGATTTATCCAGGAGCCTTTTTCCCAGCCTCAGACACTGCTGAGGCTCTTTACACAGGGGAAATTCCCCCGTGAGGTGACA